GTGGCACAATGACGTGTGCGCCCCCAGGGGCCTTTCCAGTGATGGCGGCGCCCCCAGGGGCTTTCCCAGAGACGGTGACACCCCCCAGGGGCCCCTGAAAGGGGCGCCAGTCACTCGGGGGCTCTCCCAAGGAAGGCAGCGCCCCCAGGAACCTTCCCAGTGACGGATGCGCTCCCAGGGGCACTCTCGGGGATGGCGGCGCCACCAGGGCCCTGTCATGGGTGCTGGATCCTCCAGGAGCTTTCCCAGGGACAGCTGCGCTCCCTGGCGCCCTTCCAGGGATGGCGGCGCTCCCAAAGGATCTCCCAGGGACAGTAGTTTTCCCAGGAGTTCTCTCAGGAACGGTGGCAACCCCAGGGGCCCTGTCAGGGGTGCCTGATATTCCAGGGACTGTCTTAGGGACAGCTGCCCTCCCAGGGTCCCTGCCCAGCCTTATATTGCTTTTGTTTTTATTTTTTGCTGTTATGTTGTCAAGTTTATGTCATTTATTCATGCCATTAATCTTGGGGGAGGGGGGGGGGATGTAGGATGTAAAGGAATTGGGTGCTTTGCCTAGGTCGTTGGCGGCAGTGAGTACCAGGCGTTACCAGCCTTGGCAGACAGTTGCTGTCTGGTTATCACGCAATAAAGAAGACTGCTGCTAGTTTTTCTCTGCTGCACCAAAACATCCAACATGTTTTAAAAGTTTAACAACATTATCAATATCTCCATCATTTAAAATTTTGTTGATGGATATATTGTTCAAGGAATTCTCTCTCATTTGAAGATTAAAAGACCTGCACGCACTCAACTAGGGTATGGTTAACTGTCAGGTCAGTGTGACAGGAGTTGCAGCAAAATAGTTGGTAGAGTTGGGAGAACAGTATAGGAAACAAAGAAAAATAGTCACAGTAGGTAGAGATATTTTGAGCCAGATGACATCATAAAGGGGAGATTCAAGATCCGTGAGTCGGGCTATAGGTGTACATGTATTGCAGTAGGCGCATACACCTCCCTTAGAACGGAAGTAGGTATAAAGGTTGTAGTTAGAGACTTGAGTAAGGTTTTAGTTGTGGTGTTGTCAATAGTAAGAGAGACAGTTGAGACCCTGCAATTGTGTGTAAATGAGGCAGAAAGATAGATCAGCAACCTGGGACTTGGTCACAATTTTTGTGATGCCATATAGCAGCAGGGTCTACCATTAGACAACACATTATGCTTCCAATATCTTCCCAGGTGGTAGTACCTCCCTGTTTGATAGCTGCCTACTACCTACTACCTACTGGACATAGAGTATTTATACCACAAAGTTGGTGATGCTGTTGATGGTTGATTTTTTAAGTCATATTCCTCCATCAAACCATTTGCAGACAACTTTCTCATGATCTTCCAAAACTGCTAGCTTGTCCTTCATGCTAAACTCCTTCCTGGCCCTCTTCTGACTTCCTTTTGAAGTTGTCTTGCCTTTGGAAGCCATGGTAATTAGACCACACAAGGGCTGTGGCAGTTTGACTGGCTTGTAAACAAAGCTGCTGGAGCTGGTGTTCGTTTGCCCCAGATGGCAAATCAATCACCATCCAGATTTTTTTCGGTTAATCCAGACGTTTTCAAGAAATTCCCTTAATATGGACTGGATTTTCCCCAACCAGTGCAGATTAAGAAGGTTTTACTGTTATGATGTTTGAATAAAGAACCTAATTAAAGTATAATAAGAGCCTAATAATAAATCAAAACCTTGATCCCACATTTTATGTCTAATATTACTTTGTTATTCAAAGATATAAATTTTCTTGACTTTTTTTATTTGGGTTCACTTCCACTTGCTATATCTCTTTAAGGACCCACGATGAAATTGACTGTGTCAGATTAAATTACAACAAGCAAAATAATCTAAGTAGTAGTAAAAGCCAGGAAACAACTAAAATCATGTGACTGCTATTTTCAGCATCATAATTGTTTTTTGATTAGAATATTAATTACAAGTTTTTTGAGAAATAACCTAGTACAGTATTCCTGCCATCACCACCAAGAAACTGAACTACATTTTACTATACAGTGAACCCTCACTTTACGCGGTCAATTGAACCCACAGAGGCCCGAGAGAAACGTGTAAAGTGAACAACATAACATATGGGATTAAATGAAATAGAGACCGGCTGACCCCGAAACTCCACTTTTTCCGACACAATACCTATGTTCTAGTAAAAATAACATCTTAATTTTTTGATGGTACATGCACACAATTAATATTTAAGAGAAATAGAGAAATACAGTCGCCAAGTTAATGTCCATTCAAATAATGGACTCAACTCCCTCCCCCTCTTCTCACACTCACTGGATCTTCCCTCTCTGAGAAATGTTTGGGGGAAAACCACTAGATTTTAAGGTATAGTAATAAATAATACCTCAAACTAAAGTTAGGATAATATAATTGACATTGCTAGATTCCTTGTAAGACCAGGAATATTTTGAATATAAATGTCATATATTTTGCACAAAAGATGACATATTTACTCAGAGTAAACAAAATACTTACATTAGATCTAAAATTTGTATGTCTAATGCAAAATCTATGATGTTTATATTCAAAATGATCATCAAATTGTAAGAATTCCAGCAATGTAAATTATATTCTGGCCAAGTAATTTGTATGAATTTTATGAGCTAAATAAAAAAATTATACTTCACCAGCGTATATGAGTAGATGCACCCGTAAAGTGGGAATTTGGGAATTCCGGTTCTGGCAGGGTACCGCGTAAATTAAATGTAGAAAACGTAGAAAACGTGTAAAGTGAAACCGCGTAAAGCGAGGGTTCACTGTACTGTACCATGGCTGATGGGAACTGTGACTAGGGAAGGAGATTTGTATAATCATTGATCAAATAATAAGTTCAGAGCATTTACAGAAAACCAACGAAAAATAGAAAATAATATGACATTGGGATGTAATAATCACAAAGTATAAAATGCTGATTGTGGTAATGGTGTTGTGTGACTTACCTTAAAAATGACCTGTTAATAAGAGGATGGATTCTATTTTAACATTGCACTTTTACCTGCAACTGGTCTAATACAATACAATACTGTATATAAATGTCTACTCACCTTATATAATTAAATCAGAGTTGTCAGTAGGTGATTCATCCACATTCAATGGGCAACAGATATAGCTAATGTCTCAATTTAGAATGAGGGTTCAAACATTCAAACATATTCATGGAGATTATATATAATTAGGGTACAAGAAAACAAGCACAGAAGCTGTACATTTAATGTAAGGTCTGTGCTATGGGTACATACAGCAAGGTCAGATTCACAACTTAGGGGTCCAGTCAAGATGATGCTCACCTCTCAACTCTATGACGTGGAGACCAATTCTCAAACCTTATATGACATTCAGTAAATATTTAACCAAAGAATAAACAGTTTTTAATTTATACAAAAAGGCTATAGAGAAACATGAAGCACATTCTGCATCCAAATTAACAATAATAACTGGTTGCTTCATTTCCTTCATTGCTATTCAAAGAATCACAACACTCCAATCTGTGTATTTCCCCAGTCATATCAGGTCAGACAATTCATGTCCTAATTTATTATATATGTCTTGATGCTAAGAAAGTCACCATTAATGAGTTTGGGGGTAAGCAGTATCTGACGCCGACACCTGTAAACTTATGCGAGAAATTTTGACTAGAAGCATTAACGGCATCTGTGATGGAGAGTAGTGACGCCCCATGGTGACAGTCAGAACTACAACAGCAGTTTTGACCCTTAGTGAAGACTAATAAGGTTTATGAGTCTCATAAATTAAGAAGATAAACCCTATTCCAGCGAGTCATAATGAGAAGAGCAAGAAAATTTTGGTGGGTAAAATTAAATGTCACTGAGGGCTGTGTCATTTGGATTTCAACTACAACAACTTAAGTCTCTATTTGATATGAAAGGTGGAGATGCTCTCTTGAAGCTACAGTAAAGGACGGGAACTAAATGTGATGCCTGGAGAGTAATTTTGAGTCTTCATTGGGATTTTAAAAAAGCTGACAGCCCTTTCACCTTAAGAGGAAACCAGGACTTATCAAATCACAGCTAATGTCTTGGATCAGCAATTTTGAAATTCTTGGCACTTAAGATTTACAGTCACAACTTTCATCATAATTTCAAGTAAAATTATCTGTGTTTAGAAGTAAACCTAAAAATCAATATTGCTGACCTGAACAGAATATAAAAATACTTATTACTGAAGACAAAATATTCATGATAACTTAAGTATAAAATTCTCCTTAATAGTTGATGGAATGTATTGTAAAAATACTAAAAGGAAACCTCAAAATAATACAAAAATAAGCTGTAATGAAATTCAAAGCCTAAAATCCTCACCATGGGACATAAACAGTAATGGTGAACTTTGCCAGAGACCGATCAGCCCAGTACAATGATTAGCCAACACTATACTAATTATAACAATATAAACAGCTTTACCATTCAAAACTATATGCTCAAACCATTGGCAGTTTTCAGGGGGGGGAACAACTTATGAATTCTTGTATCACTTCTTCAACACTAAATTTGTAATTTTCATCTTTGGTATTATTTTGAGAAAAATAAATGATGTAAGTCCTCTAAAAAAACTGAGATACTCAATGGCAGAATATTATATACTGTACTGGATAATTGGGATTTAATTTATAACTTATTTAAATATCGCACCATCGATTCCCTATATGATGCCTTATGAATGAGATCCGAGGACTACTACCTCAAGATTCCTAACGAATCGCGTATAGGCATTAGAATTAAGGCCGGGATGAAATGCCAAGTTTGACCGAAGTTCCTTCTTGTGATCACATACTGTATTATACATAATCCTAGAAAAAAATTTATATTTTTATGAGAAGGAAACGAGCCTTATCCATATGTTAGCAGAGGATGAATTCACCTCTGCATGTGTAACTCATCATCCTCAAATAACATAGGTTATTGATCAAGCATCCCCTGTTTCAACTATAGAATCCTAACCAATGGTACCTGAAATCAGCTGATGAGCAAAGATTTATATGTAATATAAATTATTATTGTTTTTAAATTTTAAATAATTTTATGTTTTCTTACGTTTGCCTCAAGCACCGTAAGAATTCTATTTTTTTACATTTTTACAAATATTTTTAATAAATTACAAATTTGTATCTAACCATAACTTATCAAACAATATTACACTTTAATTCCTTCACACGTTTTGTAAAGACATGCTTCAAAATAATTATATTTGATGTAGTAAAAACAAAAACAATGCCTGTCAGAACCAATGTGTCATTTCAGTTTTTATGTAAAGGAAATGTTCATTTGTAAATATTTACGATAACGTCTAATCAGTAAGCTTTCATAATACATATAACAAAGTTTGGCTCAAGGGCACACTCCTAAACACACTATGTTGGGTGTAGTAATGTTACAGATCAGGATGATGGCGAGGGGTCATCTGAACAATGACAACATTCAACAATCATGGAGATGTGTGAATCTCTGGTCTGACTTGGCATTCCCTGCAAACATCATAACTCTGGCTTGCCTTTCATTCTCACATTTTCAATAAAAGCTAAACATAGAAACTAAAGTGTACCTTATAGGTCATATTATAAACAATCTCACATTCTTAGCCTACTAGCAAGTGCTTCGTATAAGAAAAACCCACAGGAAATACTATACTGCGTAGCCTTGAGTAAAGTCCGGAAAGAGTTAAATAGCATCTATGACAACTAACAAAAATAGTATGAGTATTGCGATTAACATCTGGCTGAATTGACGACCTGTGGGTTTTCTCAATAGATTATACCTCAGATGTGCTGTTATCTATGATCTCACAATGAACGCAAGACCATCGATGTTGGCAGTAACTTGTATCATCAATATCTGCTTAAAATTGTCCTAACAGCTCATCCTTAGGAATTTAAAATACCCATGAAGACGCACCACAAAATAGATACTATTGCCGATAACTTAGTACTTGGATAAGGAGCAATCCATCTTCATGAATACCTCAATTGTAATAGAACATGGCTAAAGAATTTGGGCACCTAGACTTTGCTTGGAGGATCTTTATCTTTTGGTCCCCCCCAGAAGGAATCAAAACGGGTGCGAGCTTTATCAAGTGCATCAGTTACCGTCCTACCGGAAGACGGAGAGACGAGAGATGGAGGCTTTGACTCCTGAACTTCACCAACGCTCTGGGTCTGAGGATAATAAGGGGCATCGGGTGCCTCTAACACACGATACGGGGAACCTTTAGGCCTAGCGGGGGGGTCAATGGGTGCTTCAAGTACCCTGTATGGGGATGGTTTGATTGGGGTCTCTGGCTTGGTGGGAGACTGGTCAGGAAGATCCTTGATATCTGAAGGTGCTTCTGGTGCTTCTAATACACGGTAACCTCCACTCTTGGGCTGCTGAGGTTCCACTGGAGCTTCTAGTACCTTGTATGCACCTGATTTAGGAGAATTGGTTGTAGGTGCAGAGGGCTGGTCAAACATAAAAGAAGGATCATCAAGGCACCTTAGATTAGTGCCGGGGACATTGCGGACGCCAACGGGCTTCGATTCTGGAACACTCGCGTCCTTAACTTGCTCAGATGGAAGGGGCACTTCAGGCTTGGTAGGAGATGGTGTGCCTGAACTCTTGCCATTCATGCCATTGAGGGAGCCAAACATGGACATTGTCATAGAGTCAACCGCACCTGTAAGAACCACCACCCATGCAGTCAGATCTAGTGATTTGAATAGTGCAATCAGAAATGTGAAGAAGTGTTAGAGATACCAAATAACCCTCTAAAATATAATTTACCCAATACTGAGAAAAATCCTTAACCCTCTCGCTGCTGGATTACAAAATATTCGTCATCCGTTTCACTTAATGAAGGAGACCGCTCAAAGCAGCTAAAATCCCACACTCAGCACGTTAACTCAAGTGCACAAAGTTTTTTTTGGGGGCTTATGGCAAGTTATTCTTTGATTATTTTTTGCACATCCTGTAAGTAGGATGGTGTATGCATGTAATGGAGAAGAAAAAAAAAATGTGCATTTCCCCAAAATTAGAAGTTGAAAAATATTTTATAAAAATAACCGTACTTTTAATTACTTCTTGGCGTCTGAATATATTTCTTAGAAAAATAAAATGATTCAAGCAATTCATATAAAAATTCAGCCTCCTAGGCTTGCAGAAAGTGACTGAAAATGTTATTGGAAAAAACAAAAACACTTGTTTTGGTCTCTGCACCGAATTCCAGCATGGAAATTGTGTACAAACAGCTCAGATTGAGAGAAAAAAAGGCTGAGGTAAGTGTGCAAATGAGCATACAATGTGCCTTGAGTGAGGTCATGTGGCAAACTTGACAATGAGGTTGCTGGGGAGACAAAAATGAGTCTACCTTGATCTCCCAGCAAGGCTCTGTGACTTGCAAGGTGACAAAAAATTTGTGAAAACACCTGGAAATAACCATAACATATAGCTCACTGGATGACGAAACGGTTGGAAAATGCATGATGAAAATTTCATCATCAGGTAATTAGCGGATGGATATTTTCCCATACGGCGTGATAGCGAGAGGGCTAAGATTAAGTTGAAATGTGCATACTAATATAAATCTCCTACATGTAAAAGAGTGCTTGAGAAGCATATCATTTAATGAACTGAAGAATTTGAATGTTGAAAGTTCATGCTATTGACAGACTGTGAATTGTTTAACTTATCTATAGTTGTGCCATTTACAGAATGAAGAGTATGGGTCGTCTCAGCAGGGAAACTAGAATCACTACTCTCAGACACATTCTCTTCCAGGAAAAGATTGCTTCCATTGTTGTAACCACTATCAAAAGGGTTATTACTCTTGTTGAGCTCCCTATTGACTCCTTGAGTGCTGTAATCCTCAAGATCACTGTTGTTTTCCTGTGTAATGCTATAAGATTTTGTCTGATAATCAATGTCAATTGGGGAAGAAACCCCAAGATATTCACTTTTAATTCTAGTAATGGAAGTATCTGTTTGTGGTTGGGAATCCTCGTTAGGGAATGATTCAGCAGAGGTCTCAGATTTATTCTCTGTTTGTGAAAATTGTCTAAAGGAGGTTTGCTCTGTGGGGATAGGTTCATCAAAGAACTGAGAGGTATTTTCAAAAGAGGAAGACTTTATGACATTTACCTCATCAGTGTCATGAGAGCTGAACTGTGATGAGAAAGGAGTGTTATTTACCACATTCTGTTCACCTCTTTTATGATTATGATCAAAAGTAAAGGGGTTCCCATCAAATACTGGTGATGAAGAAATATCATCTGTATGACTCTGATTTTCAGCTGGGGTGTCCTGTAATCTGTTATACAGGTCTGGTTCAATTTCAAACATCATTGCATCAGAAATATGTTCAGAAGGGAAAACCTTTTTAGTTTTATCAGAGTGGGTTGCATATGTTGAACACTCATCACCCATATGAAAATTCAAATGGTGTTCAGATTCATTATTTCCATAGAAAGATTCAATATTGCTTTTGCCTTCCAATTGAGAGGTAAGAGTTTCTGTCTCACTGTTTGTTATGTCAGTACTAATGGGAAACTCTGTATGACTTTTAATTAGTTTTAATGATGCAGAGGATTCTGCTGGAATAGTATTTGAGATATTATCGAAAGGACCAGTGGAAGTGTTTAGTAAAACAGAATCCTGGGCTGATACATTCACATTATCATCAGGATTCTCAAATGGATTGTATTCCTTAAGTGCAGGTTCATTTCTAAGTTTAAATACTTCTTGTTGATTATCAATATTACTCCCAGCTGAAAAATGGTCAAACGTTCTCTCAGATGATGAACGCCTAGAAAATGATGGAGTATTCATATCAGTTGATAATGTAAAATGCTGATCATCAAATTTATGAGAGTCTGATTTAAATACTAAATCAATATCCCTTTCAATACCATCAAAGTTTTCTGGCAAATGACCTAGGGAATGATGCTCTCTTGTACTCTCCTCATCACTTTCAAGCATATGCTCTGCTAAATAGTTCTCAAAGTTAGACTCAAATTCCTTCCCATCATCATGTTGGTTTTCAAAATCAAACTGTTTACCCAAGTCTTGAATTTCAGCATGTGCCTCTAAGTCTTTCTGCTCATCCATACAGACCAAAGATTCAGTTTGTGTCTTATTTGTATTCTGAGGAAATGTTTCTACATGCACTTCCAATTTGTTGTCATATGTGTGAGGTTCTTCAGGGGGGTCCAATTCATCTGTATAAACTGAGAAATCTTGTAATTCCTCTTTATTTTCATACATACTATGCAATTCTGGCTGATTACTAATGATATTCTCAGGAGAAAGAGGTGTTTCTGTTTCCTCAAATTTGTTAATATCAATATCAAAAATATCATGTTTAACTTCAAAGGCCCGAGTCTTAGCAAGGTTGTCTGACTCAATCTCAAATTCACAAGACTCTTCAGGGCTATATGGTTTAGTTTCCAGTGCAAGAGACCTTGATGGACTGTCTGTTGTAAAATCAAGGGCATTTAATCTCAAAGGTGCATTGTCTGATTTAGTTTGAGAGTCCTTAAATTCAAAAATTCTATTTTCTTCATGAATAATGGCTGGGGAGTCTGGTTCTTCTATTCTAAGGTATTCATAATTAGGCCAATCTGTGGGACTTTCCCGATTGATGCTAATAAAGGGGGAATCTGCATCATCATTTTGCTGTTCTTCAGATAATGAAGTGAGAGCAAGGTTTTCTTTTGGTTCCTTCAGGGTAAATTCCGTGGTAATCTTTAGTAAAGATGCTGAATTGTCAAGAGAGGGTTCTACCTTTGTGTCATAGTCAACTGACTGTGGATGAACATCAACCTCATCCGTAGAACCACCACATTCATATGAAAATCCTGACTTAATATCTGAGTCTAAGATTCTTTCCTGGATTTCTACTTGCTCTACCACAGAAGATTTCAGGTCCTCAAAAGTCTCTTCAGCTACAACATCTGAGGTAACTTCTTGCTTCTCAAATATAGACTGTTCATTATTTTCTGGCTCTACTTCAAAGACAGACATGGGATGACTTACAGGTCCTGTCTCAAATTCTGAAGATACCATGGAGATTTCTTGATCTTTCTCAGCAATGGGAAACTTGGGGATACTTTCTTGTTTTCCATCAACTGTAAAGGAATCAAAAGAATGTGCTGCTTTAATTTCAAGTACACTCAGATCATCAGAATTTTCTATTTCTTGTTCCAATAACTGAGATTCAATTGCACTCTCTTGTTGGCCTTCAACAACTGGGTGAAAATCCAGTTCATGTGTCTCCCAATCAGACACAAATGAATCTGAAGTATTTTCTAGATTTTCATTCAAATCTGACAATTGACAACTCTGACTCACATTAGCTGTGGATGCCTCATACTTAATCATGTCAGGAGAAGATTCTTGGTAACTGTGCATATCATTTGGAAATAGTGGATTCACATTAATAGGCTCAGGCTCAGCATCGGATTTAATGACCATCGACTCCAGACTACTTTCAGGAGTAGATGCAACAGACACATTAGCTTTGATCTCAGCATTTGGTGACTTTATTTCTAACATGGCGGTTTCTAATGCACCACTCAACTCGAACTCAGGGGTGATGTCAATCACAGGATTTTCTAATTGATCTGTATTCAAGATCATATTTGTGTCAAAGGGTGTCATCAGCTCATTGGGGAAGTCAGATGGTGGATTCATTAAAACTGTTGATTCTGCAAGGTCTTCAAGCTGAGTATTTGGTAATGAAGATTCTAACAGATTTTCAGTTTTAAATTCATAAGAGTAGGACCCAAAATCTTCATTTTCATTAACACCTGTGAATGATTCTGCTGCTATCACATTTGAAGACTTCTGTATTACTACAATATCACTGTCATTATGTTCAGAACTGCTGTCTGCCACATCTTCAATTACATAACTTGGCTTGACCTCAGGAAGTGAACCAGGTTGATCTGAATCATTCTCAATTTCTTCTACATGCAACTCGCTCTGTGTAGGTGAATGTATTTCTTCAATGTCTGAATCCATTTCATTTACATGCAGAGAAAATGATAAATCAGTGTTTTCATTTTCTTGATGAGACATGTGGGGATGCTCAAACATTGAGGGGGACTCAGTAACTTCATGTGATGATGCATATGCCTGGACATTCTTTAGTTGGGATGATGGAGAATATATATCCTCATGAAATGGTGAATCCTTCTCCCCAAGTGAGGATAATGAATTATCATTGGAATCATTTTCTTGGATAGAACCTGGATAATTGAAAATGGAATCATTCTCATGAAGTGCAGGTGAATGATTACTATTGTGAAGAGAAAAGGGGGAATATACATTGTCTGAATATGATGGAGAATGAACATCCTCTGGAAGAGAAGATGGAATATGGATGTTTTCCTGTAAAGTAGGGGACTGGAGAATTCCATGCTGAGATGAGTGAGTCTCTCCAGGAAGAAATGGAAAGTGAGTCTCCTCAGGAAGAGATGGAGAGTAAGTCTTCTCAGGTAGAGATGGATAACTAATTTTATCATCAGACAGGAAGGGGTTAGCCTCATTCTGATAAAATGGGGAAGTGACATCAAGTTGATGAGATGGGGAATGGATATCTTCTTGTTGAGAAGAAGGGGAATGGACCTCTACATGTATAGGAGAATGAGAATGAGTACTCATGTGAAGGGGAAACTGAGACTGGACATCTCCATGAGATGATTGAGAAGAAAGATCCTCAAGTGATGCAGAATTGTCTTCTTCATATACGAATGGGAAATTGGTCTTGTTATGCACAGATGAGGCATGAACCTCTTCATGTACAGATGGGGAATGAAGCTCTTCATGTACAGATGGGGAATGAAGCTCTTCATGTACAGATGGGGAATGAACCTCTTCATGTACAAATGGGGAATGAAGCTCTTCATGTACAGATGGGGAATGAAGCTCTTCATGTACAGATGAGGAATGAACCTCTTCATGTACAGATGGGGAATGAACCTCTTCATGTACAGATGGGGAATGAAGCATGAAGTACATGTACAGATGAAGCTCTTCATGTACAGATGAGGAATGAACCTCTTCATGTACAGATGGGGAATGAACCTCTTCATGTACAGATGGGGAATGAACCTCTTCATGTACAATGGGGAATGAACCTCTTCATGTACAGATGGGGAATGAACCTCTTCATGTACAGATGGAATGAACCTCTTCATGAGATGGGGAATGCTCTTCATCTACAATGATGGGAATGAACCTCTTCATGTACAGATGGGGAATGAACCTCTTCATGTACAGATGGGGAATGAACCTCTTCATGTACCAATGGGGAATGAACCTCTTCATGTACAGATGGGGAATGAAGCTCTTCATCTACAGATGGGGAATGAACCTCTTCATGTACCAATGGGGAATGAACCTCTTCATGTACCAATGGGGAATGAACCTCTTCATGTACAGATTGAGAATGGATTTCTTCTAGTACAAATGGGAAATGGACTTCTTGATGCAGAGATGGAGAAAGTACATCTTCCTGCACAGCCAGAGAATGGATCTCATCATGTAGAGATGGGAAATGTGAATCCTCCTGTGGATATGGAAAATGGACACTACCAAGAGGAGATGGGGAATGCATATCCTTCTGTAACTGAGGTTCTTCATGGGGAGACCAAGTATGATCTACTTCATGAAGTGAAGGTGGAGAAAAAATATCCTCATGTACTGATGGGGGGTGAATGTCCTCCTGTAAAGAATGTGAAGAAGAAATATCATCTTGATGAGAGGAAAGAGAAATCATTTCGTGCAAAGACGATGGGGACTGTGCTTCATCAAGCTGAGAAGATGAGGAAAGTGCATCATCATGCAGAGAAGACTGGGAATGTACATCATCATGCAAAGAAGATGAAGAATACACATCTTCATGAAGAGAAGATGAGGATGAAACATCTATCTGAGAAGATGGAGAATTACTATCATGCAAAGATGGGGAATGAACACCATTGATTAGAGATGATGGGGAATGAATATCATCAAGCAGAGATGATGATGACTGCTCATCATCATTCAGAGAGGATGGTGAATGTACAGCAGAGTCATTTTCCTCAAAAGATTGAGATGAGTGAGCATCAGTATCATCTTCATGCACAGGTGACTGTAATTTTTCTTCAGAAACTTTTTTGTAGAAAGAGTCTGAAGGGACTGGGAAATAGTTCTCTAGTAAAATAGATTCATTAGGAATAGAGGACTCGGGTACAAATAGGGAAGTGGATCTATCATGGAAGTCATAGGTAGTGAGAACAGAGGAAGAGAGTGCATCAGAGGGGATGTCATTAGAGTCATTCCAAGAAAATATACCTGAAGGAGGGACTATGTCCATAGGAGAAGCTTGTGTGGGTGCAGGTGGGCTGGAAGGACCCTGCTGCTGCTGCTGCTGTTGTTGTAGGGGTTGTGACTGGAATAGCTTAGAATCAAAAGGTGGTTCTGATTTCTTGAGCTCAGCAGTTGGCTCTGGCTTTTTGGGCTCAGGAGCTTTCATTTCAGGTGCCTTTGTATCAGGTGCCATTGATAGAGTTGATTTAGGCTCTGGAACCAGAGATTCCTTTGGTTTTATCTCTGGCATCTTTGATTCAAAAGGTTTAGTCTCAGGAACCTTTGATTCAAAAGGTTTTATCTCCGGTACCTTTGATTCAAAAGGTTTTGTTTCTGGCACCTTTGATTCAAAAGGTTTTATCTCCGGTACCTTTGATTCAAAAGGTTTTGTTTCTGGCACCTTTGATTCAAAGGGTTTTATCTCTGGCACCTTTGACTCAAAAGGTTTTGCTTCTGGCACCTTTGATTCAAAAGGTTTTGTTTCTGGCACCTTTGATTCAAAAGGTTTTGTTTCTGGCAACTTTGATTCAAAAGGTTTTGCTTCTGGCACCTTTGATTCAAAGGGTTTTATCTCTGGCACCTTTGACTCAAAAGGTTTTGTCTCTGGCACCTTCGATTCAAAAGGTTTTGTTTCTGGCACCTTCGATTCTAGTGATTTTTTCTCTAATTCTTTTAAAGTAGTTGGTTTAGGCTCTTCCTTAACTTCTGCTAATTTTGTATCTTTCTTTATTTCATAAGGCTTAGTTTCAGAAGCTTTGGCATCTAACTTAGAACTAAACTTATCACCTTCTAAGGGCTTTCCCTCGGTGATCTTGGTATCAGGAGTATGAGTAGGGTCTGGTTTCTTTTCAACAGATTTATCATCAACCTTAGGATCTACAGTTGTGGCAGTGATAGGCTTAGGTTGCTCCTGAGAATGGGACTTGGCTTCAGAGGCAATGGAGGACACGGGTGTGCCAGCGAGGGATCCCTGGCTTATCTTGGTAGGTTCGGGTGTTTGGCGAGTGCGGGATTCCAACACGTGGCGGTATTCGGAGGAAGGAGTTCCACGTGCTGATTCACCTGGTAAAGAATTTCAAACATTAGTTATCAGTCTGAGAGAAATGTCCACTTTGTAAATTTTGGAATAATGTAAAGGTTCGTTAACTAATATTTAGGTTCTGTGGCTCTTGAAAAGACTGAGTATTTATTTACTTATTCTGTAATTACTTAAGCTGACAATTATTTGACACTACTAATTCATCAAGGATATGCTAGTCCACTCAGAGAACTAACAAATTGTAAGAAAAACTACTTATTTCTGCTAATGTTAACAATGAGAAGCAGATCATAATGCACAAACTAGACAATGACTGCCACAACAGACACCTGGAAGCAACTGAAAGCTCTTCAGCCAGGTCACATTCTCAAGAACACTGTACCAATTGTCTCTCATTCTGGCTCTTTGTAATGTCCTAACGACTGTACGCGTGAATATTGATTCTTAACCAGGCAACAGAATGTTCTACTCTCAAAGTAGAAATTCAGTAAATTTTATGACTACATCAGCTAAGAAATAATAAGGCAAGGAGCTTTTATGTATGCATGCCTTAATGGGTACATGGCTTTCAGATATATATATATATATATATATATATATATATATATATATATATATATATATATATATATATATATATATATATATATATATATATATATATATATATATATATATATATATATATATACAAACAATACTGTAGTGGTAAATTCTAAGTTTAGACAGTTTCTATATCATAAAAGACACCCACTCTTCATTTCACCTTAATTATCTCCATAATCAATCATTTTAAGACATCTGGTTGTTCAAATATTTTACCAACTCCCAGATGTGGAGGCTGACATCAGACACAGCACCACCAGGTGTGCCAGGATTTGTTTCTGTCAGGTAAAAATTATGATTTTTTCCTACTCTTGCAAGACTTTCTTAATACTGTACTGTACTGCACTGCACTGTACAGTTTTGTACTGTACTGTACTGTACTGTACAGTATTGTACTGTATACTGCAGGGTGACCAGAACCTTCAACAAACACACACTTCCCTTCATTCACTACCATTTGTTCTAACTCCTGTGACATATGTGATATGTTGAGTTGTAAAATTTATCACTCTCCTCTGAACTATGATACCCTGCATCATCAATGCCAAAAAACACAAGGAAAAAAGAATATTGTAAGAAAGTGACACCACTACATAACTGGTTTGTACAGTATGTAGTATCAGTCTCAAACTTTTACACGAGCAGCAATTACTTTCATTTTCACACTAAATACAACACATGTATGTTTGGTATATTTTTTTAACAAATATGTTTGAGACATTATTTGCCAAAACGGTGACATTGGTACGGGTTCGAGAAAATGGATTTGAGACGGACTATGGAGCTGTTCAAAAGACAAACATGCCAAGCTTCAGCAAAAGAAGAATATTTTTGGCATCAACAGTATGTGCTTAAAATGGTTTATTAGAAAGATAACACTATCATAAACAATAGTACAATCTGAAAATGAAGACCATAAATATAATAAATAATAATTATAATAGTAAGGGAAATATTCTGATGTAATTTCATTATATATATGTATATATATAACAAAAGTGTCGAACTAAAGTGCAGGGATTTTGCCGAAGTGCATTGTCAAAACTTGGGACCATACTATACAATAGACAAGTTGTGCTTTGTAAATTGGATTGAGTACAAGGGAATAAACAATGATGTCAAACACAAAGGAACCATTCGCAATGACTTTTCACAACTTTTGACTAACACAATCTTACAAGTTTTTGTCCTTTAATAGACAGAAATTAATGATTTTATATTAATTTTAGCTATAAAGGGTAAAAAACAAGCAGATAGAAGTAGTCTGAAAGAAAAGAAAGAGCACAGCGAATGTGAGCAATCCAACAGGACAGGGAACGGCTATTGGCACATCAACCATGCACTCTGGTATAGCTGACACTCCATCTAGTCTAGCTGTAGTAGGGGGCTGTTAGAAGCCTGATGGGACTCTTTGTTCTAAACTGCTATTTTGGAATCCTGACCTTAGTCCATATAAACAGCTGTTGTCTTTTCATCAAAATTAAATTTACATATATAAAGTCAATCCAACCTTATGCAGATAACCATTTTTTTCAGATCACGGCTAAAAATAACCGCAGACACAAAGACTATATGCGAGTGTAATACAGTACTGTACTGAAACTTTGAGTTATTTAATCAGACGTACTGTACTGGTCACTGAGCATTACTTATCACAAAAGCAAATAACATTTTTTATCAACACTATTCATCAATTTATACTTTTTCTTTTATAATTTTCCTCTTAAATGTTCTATCTCTTCTGAGGCAACCCTAATTCCTTTGGTACATTCTTATTTCTTGGTGTTGGGTACAGGTACAGTATCTGACTCCGCTTTTTAATAACCAAATCAATTTCTCAGCACAAGAAAGAAGTGATTTTTACCTCAGTGACAGCCGTGCTAACCATTTCTCAGTCCTAGCAAGAGGTGATTGTGCCAACTATATGATGATCAAACTAATCATTTCTAAGGATAACCAATCAGTAACCAACTCATTTATCTAATAACTAAACTACCCATTTTCCAGTACTAGTACTGTATAGTGACTGTTTCAGTTATTTGCCAAACCAAGAATTTCTCAAGACAAGAATGATATATAACTAGACTCTTCAGATGTTCCCTCGGATGCTAGTGAGCCTCTGACTCACAAAGATGGCTAAAAGTAAAAAATATTTCATGGCAACTGTCAACATGCCAATGGTTAAATCTAGGTGGAGGAAACATTTAATATAAAACATCCTTAGATTAATATATTTACATGAATCTTCATTCTTTTCAACTAGAATCTACTAAAGATAAAAAATAAGAACGTCAGTCACTAAGTCTCGAAAAAACTTTAACATTTTCTACTTATGATATACCCGAATTTTTTCTTCTCTCTTACAAGTGTTTTCCTGCATGATACAGCATGGGTGCAATCATGAGCATCACATACCCCTCACTCACTAGGTTGAATGAACAGCAGATCATATATTCATCCATTGCAATTGTGTGCATTGTGATTATTTTGAAATGAATGCTTATTTTTGTGGATAACACCAGTATTTCATCAATCATGAGTTATACTGAACGGATGAGCAAGGTAATCCAACAGGGGCAGTGTATCTGACTCAGAGAAATTTTAATATACTGTACTACTGTGTATGTTATAAATCTGCTAAAATACATTGACTACAACATATATTTAAATTACAGAAGATAATATTTTTTTTAGAGAGATAATGTGTCAAAAAACTTCGGTACAATATACTGTACACATCAGCACAGGATCAGGACATTTGTATTGACTAGGCTGCTGCAATAATTTTTTTTTAAATCTGCTGAATGAGTTAATCTACTAAAGAAATCCTACACCTGAAAAAATTATCATTCTCCCAAAAACAGGAAGACTAATAAATTTGAACACTGGTTTGTAATGTGAATATTCTTTGTAGCTGAAGAAATAAGAAGGCACCTAACAAAACAAAAAAATAAACTATCAATTTAACACAAAAGTCTCTACGTTAACTAGTTGTGTTCAATTACTAACTATTAGGAGACAAAAGCATGTTTCTGCAGTCACCACTGAGGATTTCCAGCACAATTGCTTGTGAATAGACAGATGAAAACAAAATACTGTATCCTACACCTCTATTTTGAAAGCAAGTTTCATATAAAACTGCACATATTATATAAAATTTATATACAATTTATAATGATGAACTAAGGGGGAGCCTTAGGGTCACTGATTTGCAGGGCACCTCAAGTCCACCCAGGTGTGTGTGTGTGTGTACATAACTTTACATTTACAGGTAGGAAGGTAATCCTCAAGGAGTAGTGATACTGCCTTTCCAGCTAATAGGATACAGGTACTTGGAAGTCCTACATATAATGCTTAGTTCCCACCCTGTAAAAGTGGGTTGACAACAGGAAAGGCATCCAGCTGTAAATCTTGCCTCAAATTTGCCTACTGGAACACCATACAATCAAGTAATCATGTCTATCCCATTCAATGTGGAAAATGGCCATAAAACACTGATGATGACGATTACACTCTACTCAGGCATGAATTCACTAACAAATAATATTCTAGTCTGATACTGTTGCGAGAAATGTTATCTCACAGAAGAAAGAGTTGCACGCCTTTCCCATTCTAGTTTAAGTTGGCTAAAATCAAGAGCAAACACATTTTCTGTCATTCAATCTCTACAACTACTTTAACAAATACTTTCCATTATGGTTCCCTCTACTAAACAAGGCCCCCAAATATTAATCTGATTTAATCTCGTCATTTCATACAACCCAACATCACTAACTAGCAGCACATCCAACCCTAACACCACTCAACACTATGTTTTCTGGTCAACCACACACTCTTGCTGATTCCCATATTTTCACTATTTTATTTTTTATGAAAGTTTGGAATAAGAAAAAGAGACAGTATTAGCCAAACTAATGAACTTAAAATAGAAAATGCAATAATATAAACAGAAGTGAAGCTATAGAAGTTTTAGCTTTTGTGGTGATTTGCAAAGAAGACTATTCCATGTTGATAAGGTGTGTGTGTGTGTGTGTGTGTGTGTGTGTGTGTGTGTGTGTGTGTGTGTGTGTGTGGCTGAGTGACAATGTAAATGTTTTGAAATTAAGGGCTTGATCACCATGGTTCCTCAATACATATATCAAATGGAATATACAAGCTGACACAATTGTTGTACATGGATAAAATTCATCATTGTCTTTGTTGAGTCAGGCAGAGGAAAATGCTAAAAGAAACTGGTATATTTGAGAGAGCTAAGTAACATGTAATAAGGACAAACTTGAAGGTGTATAAATTTAGATATGTGAGGTCTACTAAATGATGTATCACTGACTACAGGTAAACTGAGGCAAACAATAACAGTATAACAAAGCAATGAAAAGAAATGAGAGATACAATGTGAGCCATGAAAAATGAAAAG